ATGGAGCTTTTTCAGAGGTGGTTGGATCCACAGTGTGTAATGTTGGAATTGATTTATGGTGAAATGCTAGAATCAAAGGCACTAGGATTAGGGTGTAAATGCTACCCACCCTAAATGGCCTAGATAAGATCAGTCATCTCTTGCTTGCTTTGCTGCATTCTGCTTGCCATGAACTGCTTCTCTGCTGCAATATCTGTTTGCCACATCACCCTGCCTCGGAGCCAGCCAGTGATGGACTGAAACCTCTACAAACTGTAAGCTAAATAAACCTTTCCTCTCTTAACTTGTGGGTGTTGGGTATTTTGTCTCAGCAAGAAGAAAAGTAAGACTTGACTGGCCTGCAGAGATCACTATATTGTTGGTGACACTAGTGATCTCATATACTGCTTATCACCACCCTTCTGACTAGCCTCCCATTTATTCTGCCTTCTCTTGGGAAGCTATTTTTGCCTTCTTTATCAATTATCAGTCTTTTGACCTTAACTGTGTGCAATTGATCTTGTTGCCTAGGGTTTTTTTTTTTTGTTGTTGTTGGTGGTGGTGATGTAGCCTTGCAAAAAGAGAAAAACACAAGAAGATAAGAATATTATTTGACTTTCTTTTAAGCAGTAATCTTAACTTTGGTCCTGTTTCTTTCCTCTGAGGCCTTTCTTCTAATTAAATTTTTCTTTCTCCTTCCTCAAAGATCTTTCTTTCTTAAAGTTTTTAAGATCTTAAAAAGAAAACAAAACTAACACATTTTTAAAATCATCTGTAAACTAAGTTTACTTTGATCATCATCAAGAGGAACATGATTTTCAACACAACCCATAATCCCAATTGTCCACAGGTAAGGATGGAGATGTGGATTATGACTTTTAGGATCATAAGCAAGTATCAAGATCTAGGGATTTGAATATCAAGATTCAAATCTGAACTGAGATTCTTAAAGCTAAATGAACTTCAGAAAAGCCTCTTTGGACTTGAGGTTTCATCTTTAAAAAATGAGATTAATAATTCCCAAAGAGGTGAAAGGCCTAAAGGGACAATGTGTGTGAAAGCACTTTTAACCCATAAGTAATTTCAGCATAAAGCACTAAGGGATCATGAAATGCCACAAGAGTTGAGAGGATGCCCAGTAACTTACCCACCAAATATCTCACCTGGATGCCACTAACCCCTTATATCACCACCTCCCCTCCCTACGCTTTCTGTAAGTCCTAGTCCTGCTAATGGAACTTGGAGGCATTTTGTCAGTCAATACACCCACACACACACACACACACACCCCTTTAATTTGCTGTATCAGGGGCTATAATAGTGCTAGGAATTGGACACTGAATATGGTAGGCAATGTCTCTCACACCAGGGAGCTTACAGTTCACTTTGGGTAGGAAGGGAAATAAAACAAAAAATAAATAAATAAAGTAATAAAGGCCCCGGTCTTACAGGAACAGCCTGCACTAAAGCCCTACGGAAAGTGCTTGGCCTCCTTGCAGTGTGGAAAGAAGGTGCTAGAAGGGAATGCACAGGAGATCTGTTAAACCTCCAGGGCCAGATCTGGCAGTCTTGCAGCCTGTGGTCAGTCTGTGGTCAGGAGTGTGGACTCGATTCTAAGGAGAATTTGGAGTTGAGCAACTAACTGCTATGATTTGGGGTGGGGGTTGTTCGTGGCTGAGGTGCTTTTGTTTATCAATCTGGCTGCTGTGCAGAGAATTGGGACTGAGAGGGTGGTGGGCAAAAGTGAAGCAGGAGACCAGCTGGTCAGCTCTGCAATGGTAAAGAGCTGTCTGAGGCCAGAGTGGGGAAACAAGGAGAAGTGAATGGAACAGACATGTGCTTTAGAGTCAGAAATGTGAATCTGTGATGAGTTTCATGCAGAGATACAAAGGAAATAGGAATAGCAGAGTTGACCCTGGGGACCTGCCAGAGAAGCATGAGGGACAGCATTATTAGGAGTGGAGGAGCAGGGTACAGAGGAGGGGGTTAAAAGAGAAGCCCAAACTTTCATTATGATCCCCATTTTCCCAGCATGTGCAAAAGTCAGAGTTTGCCAGTCTGCCCCCATGAGGTTCCTGAAATCACCTCTTCTTTCCCATCTCCAGCCTGCCACCTGACTTCTCAAGGTGTGCACACCTCAGGGTCTCTCCCTCCTATCCATCTGTGGCATCCACGCTAGTGCCACATCCTCAGGACATCTGGAAAGGGGAGATAATAATGTCCGTCATTATGATCCTTGCACTGGACTTTCTGTCGTAGCCATGCACTGAGTAAAAGTTTTGGTCTAAAATGAATCACATATATTATGTCTGTGGTCTCCGAAAATCACATCGTCTAGTGACAACACAGCGGCTTAGTGTGTGTAAGCACACTATGGTTTTCACACAGTGACAAAACCATCTAACATGGCATTTCCCAGATGTATCTCCACGCTCACGTAAGCAGTGCATGGCTGTGTCAGCAGATGAAGCCAGACAGCAGGTCCATGAGGTCCAACCTGAGCCCTCTCCTTATTGAACACTGTCCTTCCCAGCTTTTCAACCTGGCTGGTCGCCTGCTCCTCTGGGCTCTGTGTGTGTTGGTCCCTGTGCCTGGATTTTTTTTTTTTTTTTTCATCTTTTCAGTGCATCCTAACTATCCTTCAACAGTGTTAGGGATTTTTTAAAAGTGAGCATTAAAAACTAAAATGTTTCATCTTTGACACTTCTCACAAGTCCCTCTACCACCCTCCTGGTTCTTCTCGAGTATAATTTCTACAACATGGTGCTATAAAAATATTTCGTCACCCTCTGATTGCTACCACAAGAAGGGCAGTGCTAACACCTGTCTTCTCATTGCCCATACTGCAACAAGTCTACTATACAGATATGCATGAATCTGTTGAATGAATGAAGGTCAGAGTGGATGAGGTTCTAAAGCTGTCAAAGTAGAAAACCTTGAGTGTTCAAAATCTGTAAACATTCTGTGGGGGTGAAGGATGTAACTCAATGGTCAAGGACTTGCCTAGTGCACACAAGATCGTGGGTTCTAGTCCCAGCATCATAAAAAGTATCGTATTTTTAAAATTCTGCAAAATGCCCTTTCAGATACAGTACTCATGCCATGTATATTCAGTTCTGTGCAGTAATTCTTATACTCACCGGAGTCTGAGAAGCACTGAGTTTGAGTAGAGGGGAGAAAAAGCAGGCTATTTCGTGGCACCTCTCCTGCAAAACCTTGCTTTAAAATAATCCTCAGACTGACGATCAGTGATACAGTCTGAAATGGAAAAACGCGGGAGTCGGGTGAATGTGTCGGGAACGGATGATGAAACTGACCGTCTACACACAGTGACTCCTACTTGCTGAAGGCGTTTTCTTCGTGTTTGTTTTAATACTTGTCTCTACAACCTTAGCTCACGCAGTGTACTGGGAAAAGGATGGCATCATCCCTACCATCAGGGTCCCATGGATGGATCCTTTTTATTCTCATGACTAATCTATGCAAATGAGACTAAAAGAGTTTAACTTTATTAGAAAATGTAACAGTTAAATCCCCAACTTTAGGGAAAATTTTCCACTGTGTATTTTCCTGGGAGAGGAAGGTATATAAGCCCAAAATGGGCAAAGTCCTCGACTAACTGACCACCAGGCATTCATTGTGTACGAACCTGGGATGGATCCACTGTGTAAACACTGATCTCAGATGCAAAAAATCTAAATTCTGCCTTATCATAGCTTCTGGTTCTTCATACACTTACAACATAAAACACCTTGCTTCTGAAACCTCTCATAGCTCATAATTGTTTCAGAGAAGACAATCATCCTCGTGGCTCCACAACTGCAAAGCACTTTTATTTTTACATTTATTAACACCCATTAGAATGATTAGTTAGGGGGCTGGGGATTTAGCTCAGCGGCATAAGCGCCTGCCTTGCAAGCAGGCAGTTGTGAGTTCGATCCCTGGTACCAATAAAAAGGAAAAAGACAAAAAAAAAAAAAAAAAAAAGAATGATTAGTTAGGATGTTTTTCTTTCATTTCTGTATCACCTATTTCTATTCTGTCAACTCTGTAACCATCCTTGATCTGATTTCTTCATTTGTCCATTTTAAGTTATATCAAAAATTTTGCTAAGCAAATATCATAGATACTAAAAAGAATATTAGTAGCCTCCATTCTTTTAGAAAGATAGGAAAGTCCAGGTTCAGGTTGCAAAACATTACATAATAAAATCATTCCCCTCAAATGACTAACTGAATGAGAATATATTTTCTTTCTATCTTTAGAAATGCATTATTTATTCATAGATTCTTAAATTTGAGAACACTCATCTAAATTACTATTATATAACACACAGCCTGACATTTTCCTTACATAGTGTATTTCACCATTGTCCCCAGAGTACAAAATGCTGCTGTCACTTTGTAGTGGTTTTCTGATTTGTCTAACAATTCTGTGTTTCCCTCTGTCAATTTTCTTCTCTTCACAATTTTGTGCAAAAAGTAAAAACCTTGAGTGAGCATAGTGGTACACGCCTGTAATTCCAGCACTGAGGAGGCCGAGGCAGGAGGATCGCTATGAATTTGAGGCCAACCTGGGCTACACAGGGAGTTCAAGACCATTCTGAACTGCATATTAAGACCTTGTCTCAAAAAAGAAAGAAACTTCTACATTCAAAACTGTATTCATTGAAAGCAAGAATATATCTCATAAACATGTACGATTTTGTAGCAATTAATAAATAATGAAATGCATATTCAAGCAAAAAGAAGAAGACTAAAAAGAGGGTGTCTTTTTAAAATTTATTTTTATTAGTCCATGTTCGTACTACATAATGATTACATACATTTATCGTGAGGAGTGCGTGCAGATACACAACGTCTTAATTCTTTTAACATTCCCTCCCTCTCTCCGCCATCCCTCCTCCCTCCACCCGCTGTGTCTTCTCATTTGCAAAAGATTTATCTCCCAGTTTGCTATTATCTATATTTTATTTTGTTCTTTATATTTTGGGTTTCGTATGTAAGAGAAATCATGAGATGTTTAAGTTTGTACATCTGATTTATTTCACATAACATTATCATCTCAAGATGCATCAATTTTCCTACAAATGACTCAAATGTATCCTTCTTAACAGCCCTGTAGTACTCCATCCTGTATATACATTTTCTTTATTCATCTGTCGACATATATATAGACTATTTTCAAGATTTAGCTGTTACCAGTTGTACTGCTACAAAAATGGGTAACATGAGTGTAGCCGCAACATGTGTCTCTAACACGGATACTGAGAATGGGAATATCTGGGTCAAAGGGAATTTCTAGTTTTAGTTTTTTGAGGAATCTCCATACTGATTTCTACAGTGATTGTACTAATTTACATTCCCACCAAAACTTTAAAAGGGTTCCTTCTCCCTCACATCCTCTCATTTGTTATTACTTGATTTCTTAATGTTAACCATTCTGTCTGGAGTAACAAGAAATGCCAGTATTAATTTGTACTTTTTTAATGGACAGAGATTTTGGACAGTTTTTCAAACATTTATGGATCATCTGTCCTTCTGAGAAGTGTGTGATCATTTCAGTCGCCCATTTTTTTGACTGATCAGGTCTTTTATTTTGTGGAAATTCTTTTTGAATTCTTTATGTATTCTAATATTAGTCCTCTGTCCAAGGAATAGCTAGCACAAATGCTTTCCCATTGAGAAAGCTGTCTTCTCACTCCGTTGGACGTTTCATTGGCTGTGCATAAGCTTTTCAATTTGATCTAATCCTATTTGTTGATTCTTGATGTTATTTCTTATGCAGCTGTAGTTGCATTCTGAAAGTCCTTGCCTACACTTATATCTGCAAAAGTTTTGCCTGATTTATATTCTAGTAGGTTAAGTGCTTCTGCTTTATTATTTAGATCTTTGGCCCATTTTGATTTCAGTTTGGTACGCAGTGAGTTTCAGTCTTTTGCACGTGGACAGCCAGTTTTCCCAGCACCATTTGTAAAGAGAATGGCTTCCCCCCGGCATACGTGTTTGGCTGAGGGCACCTGGGTTGTGTCTGCCCTTTGTCTTCTTCTGTACCTTCCTGAGAGATGGTGTGACCCTACGGACGATGTAATTAAAAAGCGGGGGATGCAACAGTGACGGCCAGCTTTGTTCATCCTTACAGGTGACTCTTCATCCTTACAGGTGACTCTACCGTTCTTCCATTTCTTTATTTTAGTGATTTTTATTGTAATTACCAATAACCGGGGAGTAATAATAAAATATTTCTTAGGGTGATTAAATAGAAATTTTTATACAAGAAAACTAAAGTCACTAAGGGCCTACAATTTATCCATATACCCACCTAGATTTATAAACGGTTCCCAAAGTGCTACGTGGTTATTTTAACAGAGAATGGACTTTATTCTACTTTTGTTTAAAACGTGCTCTTTGGGCTTAAGAACACTCCTAAAAATGAACAGAAGTCGTGAAACAGCAGTTCTTAAAAAAAGAACTTCTCAGGAAAAAAAATATAATCTAAATGCAAAACTGTGATTGAATACTGAGGGTTACATTGCACTAATGGGTTTGGTCATTTACCAAAACTTTCAAAATCTACTTTCTTAGGAAACCACCCCCCACCCCCACCCCGCTGCTGCCAAAAACAGGCTTTTTCTTTACTGCTTGAAATCTAACAGCTCTCTGAGCAAAGTCGAAACCCAGTCAGGAAAAGCTCCCTGCATCCACCAGGCTACAAGCCCTGGGCTCAGCTAGCTCCCTCGGCAGAACCCAGGCAGCCACTCCACGAGATAGTGCCTCCTGGAGTTTGTCTCAGCAAACAATGGGAAAGCAAAGACTAGGACCCAGTGAAAACAAAGAGGGTTTCCGAGAAAATGCAAGCCTCAGAGCAACGCACTAACAATGCTGAGAGGCTCCCAAGCAGACAAGCAATGTTTCCTACCTTACATTCTTTTCAGTAAGTGGACTTATGGTGAGGGACACAGTCTTCCTATTCTCTTGGGCTTTTGAAAATTCCTTGTTATCATTTGTATTTCCAGTCAATACATGAGAGCTTTGACTATTGATCAGTGACATAGAGGAAGTGCCTAACTGCCCAACATGTTGTGTTCCAACACTCTGAGATTGTTTAGAGAACCCAAAATACATTTTTCTTCAAAAAATAAGTATGTACATATAAACATGTGGTATGTATTTTGGGCTCAGGGTCTTGCCGTGTGGACCAAGCTGACGGCAAACTCCTGGGCTCACGCAGTCACCCTTCTTCACCCTCCCAGGGAGCTGGGACCACAGGCACATGCAACCATGCAAGCTAAAATAAAATTATAAATTTCAGGTTTCCAAGCCAGCCCCCAAAAAAGTCTTCTTAATTCATAATATTGTTGAAGTTGTATATTTTTAGAGGAAAAGCTAGTAGAAAATAATTTTGTAGCATTATTAATAAACAAACTCAAATATTAAAAAGTTAGTCTGCTTTATCTTGAATTCTATTGAACGAAGCAATCAGGTTAATAAGATTAGAAGAACTATAGATAGCGAGGGGCCTCTGCTTGCAAGAATTTCAGAGCCCTGACAGCGGCAGTTTGTAACTTTGAATGACCAATTTCGCTCTAATAACTTTTCATTTTCCTTCCCGGAGCACGATGCATAGGAACCATGATTAGGGTAGATTTGGGGCTCACAACTGAGACAGCTAAGGAAGGAGCAGGAAAAACATAAGCTTGGAAACAATTTCTTTGATGAAGAGAATTCCAGTATCTCACTGTGAGAAGATTTCCTAAGTCAGTATTAACTAACTTGATAAGGAAACTGAGGAAAAGAGGCAACCCATTACTGGTGCTCAGGCCCTAGAACCAGATAGGCTGTTCGGTCATTCAGTTCCCACTCTGACCATAAGGTGGCACCATCAGCCCGGGCAGTCAGTTCAAGAGGGCGGGGCGTGTGGTGGGCGGAGCTCTCTGGAATAAGCCATGTTCCACACTCAGGTTTTGGGACTCACAGAATGCCTGGGCTAGACAGCGTGTGTGAAGCTACAGACACTGTCCCACAGCCAAGAACACATCTAGTCCTTTAAGGCTCCGCCTGCTCAGGCCTGAGCAAGAACACCTCACCGCTATCACAACACACATCAAGACTTCAATTCCCTCCTGCCAATTCCCCTCACCTTGTTTCGCAATGTCAGCAAAAGGCCTCTAAGTTTTTTATAATTCCTAAAGAGCATCTAATCAAAGAGCATCCCACAATCTGATCTTTAAATACCCATCAGGATGAGAGAGCAAGCTCTTCCATGATGAGCACGGATTTTCGCAGTGGCCTAGTCTCATAACATGGCACAGTTGAACTCACCAGATTGAGCCCTTTAACACCAGCTGGACAACATCTACTCCCGATGCAAATTCCACTGCATTCCCTCCTGCATTTACCTCCAAACCTACCACCTGCAACACCCACTCTCTTTCTCTTGCCTCAACTTTGTTACTGTTGTATCCTGCTCCATTTCTCAAGATCTCATCCAAATACCCCCTCTTTAAAAACCTTCCCACTTATAGAGTTGACTGGAGTTAACACATGAAGTGGATTTAGAGAAACAAGGCCGTATGCCTCAACCTTAGAAGCTACTGTGTGCCTTTTTTTTTTTTAACTTTTTGAGGCAGGGTTTCCCTATGCAGTTCAGGCTGGCCTTGAACTCGCAGTGATCCTCCTGCCTCAGCCTCCCAAGTGCTGGGATTACAGGCACGCATGACCACACCCAGCTCAGAAGCTACTATCGCGTGGCAGTCCATGACTGCCTCCCCATAGTTACATGGTCTCAGTGGGAAAGAAGGCCCAGTGCTCTACTTAACCTCAGGGCAGCACTAACTGATCTGTCCTCATGCTTCTCACAACTCAAAGTTAGGGTGGACTTCAGGTCTAGAAGGACACCGTAGTCTCAAACATGGCAGGTGACACCGTGCTTGTTCTCAATCATATTAATTTATAAGTTTTATGATTACTGCCACTCTCATCAGCCAGTCTGCCAAACCAGGCAGAGTGACAGAGCCAAAGGAATCAGAGAGAGAAAAAGAGATCCTGACAAAGTCATCAGTCCGTGCACTCCAGCCCTTGCTCTCCCCTGGGCCGCACCCCTGCAAACAGTCCAGGATTCTGCAAAATTCTCAAAGCCCTGATGAGGCTGACTGGACTCAGGGTTCTCAGCTGGACACTTCGGCCATGGCTAAGTGATCCAGAGGTAAACCTTTAAGAACAAGAGCCTATGTTTGCAACACCTCAAATTCTAGCTGCTAGCTGTTTTTTTCATTCCAAAGGGACAGTTTGCTCAGGCAAGAACCATGAACGTTTCTTGGCTAATTGCTTTGTAAAGACAAATAGCCTCAAGAGGAATGTTTAAGTTATAGTTCCTCTGACAGCAAGCCAAGGCCTCAAGGAAGCAAGGGCGGTATCTAACACAGGCAGAGAGAAGACAGGTACCAATCACCTCCATGTGCCAGGCTGCTGGCAGAAGCCCAGGTATCTGCAGCTGGCAAAGGTGGGCTTGCTCCTGCCCCCTAGATCTTCTATTTCTGTTTGGGGGGGAGGGGTGGGACCAGATGCCTTTTTAATGCCAATACTCTTTGTGCTCTCATCTACAAAAGAAACCAGATGGAAAGAAAGAACTCAGTTAATACCTTTAAACAAGACTGAGAACAAACATCCACTTGACCCCAGGAAATTTGGGGCCCTGAGCAATTAGGATAAGCCAGAATGCTGTTGTGCTATTTGCTTGTTTGGCTTTTAAGGATGGCAAGAGGTGGTTTTTCCTGAATGAGGGACGCCAAGCTGAGTAAGGCGGGCATTGAGAACGCCAGTCTGCGCCTTGCTACAAAAGATCTGTAGCTGCGGGAGCTGACTGCGACTGGAAGCATCGGCATGAGTGGACAGTTTCTTGCCACCTCTGCAGATTCGGACTAAAGTGACCATTTCCTGAGGCTCTGAAACCTAAGCAGGTGCCGTGGACAGCGGCTCCTGGGCACTCCAGACCCTGGGCAGCCCATTCTGAAAGCACTTGCCCCATTCCCCCCCCCTCCCCATTGAGGTTTGCTCCTCGCGAGAAGGTAGCCTTGGCCAGGGGTGGTCACCTAGCCCTGAGCTTCACCTGGCCCCAGGAAGGAAGGCTGAAGCCAGCTGCTGAAGGATGACCTGCCCCGGCATCTCCGTACCCCCTCCCCCAAGCATGTCACATGGCGGCCCAGTAAGGCCGGCAGTGCGCCCCGCCGCGGAAACTGCGGCTGTGTCGCCGCGGGCGGTGGGTGATGAAACCTTCCTGGCACATTACTGCAGAGCCAAGCGGGGCGGGGGCGTGTGAGGGTTGAGAGCTGGTACCCGGGCTCACCTGTTCTCCCAGAGGAGGGTGGGGACTGCGGGGGAGGGACGCGGGTGTGCCAACACGCCGCGGGACTCCAGGCTGCCGCGCGCCTGGCCGCCCTCCCCCACCCCTGCTACCCCCTAGAGCTGCGCCGTCGGGGTGAACAGTTCCTGTCCGCGGCCCCGTAGCGAGGGAGACGTGAGCGTGCACACGTACACACACAGCAAGGAGAAAGGCGCTCCAAGCGGCGCCCAACTTTCTGCTTACTTCCTCCAGCCGGGGAGCCAGCAGCTGGGGGCAATCTAATCCGGGCAGTGCTTAGGAAAGAGACTCCAACAGGACAGGGGAAGCGATGGAGAGCATTTCCCTGAATTTTGCTTTTTTGTGTTTTTCTTTTTTTTCTTTTTTTTCCATTTCCACTAAAAGAGTAAAGGGAACCCCGAGTCGGGCGGAAAGTAGCTCTTTGAGAAAATTAAAGAGTGTACTTGGAGACAGTAAAGTTGCCTTTAAGACAGACACCAGGGCACGCGAGGCTCCACAGCGGGCTTATCCAGGGCTGCGTGGGCCTCTCTGTTACCCGCCTTGAAATGATGCAAGACTGACTTGTCACCTGGATCCCTGCTGCCCAGACTGGAATCCATCTGTAGTGGGAGGGGGCGAGACACGACTTCCCAAGTGTCACAGGGCCCACCTAAAAGAAAGCGAGAAGACAGGGCAGTTGTTCAGGCCAAACATTTTATTGAGGGCTTCTGCTCCTGTCTGCAATCCTGTTTTGTTTGTAATGCAGAAGGCCACGACGCCAGGCATCCCCATGCGTGCTCCACCCATCCAGGCTATCACTGCGCCTGGGTAACTGCTCTAAACTATCCAGGCCACGAGGCTAAAATCTCCAATGAATTCCAATTGGTAAGGGAAAACTTTCCCAGCCGGATGCGATTGTGGTGCAAGCCAAGGGTCCGAGAGTCCCAGCATAGACGGTTCCCTCCTGCCTTCTGTATTCGCCACCGGCGCTGCGATCTGCTCTGGTATTTGTGGAGCGCGTTTGGCCAAGCCCTGGAGCCCCGCACCCGCGCACGCATCTCTGACCACGCTCACGCACACGCACTCACACACACATGCGAACGCGTGACCGCCGCCAGGTCTGCAACTTTGTCGGGCGCTCCCAGCCGAGCTCAGCTTCCTCCTGTAGTAGTTGGGCGCAAGCCCCGCCTCCCGACTCTGTTGTCAAACGGGCTGGGGTCTCGGATTGGTCCAGCCTGCGGGACAACACCTGCTCGACTCCTTCATTCAAGTGACACCAGAGCTTCCAGGGATATTTGAGGCACCATCCCGGCCACTGCCGGGCACTCGCGGCGCTGCTAACGGCCTGGTCACATGCTCTCCCGAGAGCTACGGGAGGGCGCTGGGTAACCTCTACCCGAGCCGCGGCTGCGAGGAGGAGGGAAAAGGCGAGCGAGGAGGAAGAGCGGGAGGAGGAGGGGAAGCGGCGGCGGCGAAGAGGAGGCGGGGAGCACAAAGAATCCAGGTCTCCCGGCGGGAGGTTTGCACCAAGAACCATGTGTGCCGAGCGGCTGGGCCAGTTCGTGACCCTGGCTTTGGTGTTAGCCACCTTCGACCCGGCGCGGGGGACCGATGCCACCAACCCACCAGAAGGTCCCCAAGACAGAGGCTCCCAGCAGAAAGGTCGCCTGTCCCTGCAGAACACAGGTAAATGCGTGTGCCCCCGCGGCCAGGAGCCACTGGGAGAGAATACCGTGCCCAGCGCAGCGCGCCTCGGGCGTTTTGCCCACAGCCCGGCGCCCACCCCGGCCGCGTAAACTCTTGCTGTGGCGCGGGGCGTGCAAAAGAAAGCACGAGGCGAGGCGAGGCGAAGCGAGGTTGCGCCGGGCTCGGAGCGCCCGGAATCCGCACGTGCTAGCAGGGTGATGAAATGGCTGGGGCAGGACTTGTTGCTGTCCTCCCCCAGGGTTGAGGGGAAATGAGGCAGGGCCTGACGCTGCCAGGCCACCCCGTGCAAAGCGCCCTACTCCATCCCGGCTGACCCATGGGAGGCATGGAGGGTCCCCGGAGCTAGACTGAGCCCTGTACCCGGAGACTTACTCTTCAGAGCCTACCAGTCTAGACAGGACTGTTTCTCCCCCTCCTCAAAAGATGCCCGACATCCCAAAACTTTGCTGGCGAGACAGATTGCGTCGCGTACTCGCCCCCTGGGGGACACTGCTTTTGGAAGGGCTAAGACGCGGCGCAAAGCGTACCTCCACCGTGCTGCCGCCGTCCCCTGACCCTGGGCAGGTCAGCAAGCGAAGAACTGGTGACACGACCCGAACCGTGCGCCTCCTCTGCTCAGCCGCCTCTCTGCTCTCCGGCAAACTGCGGAGCTGAGCCAGGCGCGCGGGACACCGGGCTGGCCCTCTTCCCAGAGCTGAGGAGAGAGAAAATCTGCTTACAGCTCAACTCCTTCGTTCTGTGCCCACCCTTACCGCACCCCACCCCCGCGGCCTTTAGGGGGCCCCGGGAACGCTGCGGCTACAGAGTGTGCGTGCGCTCACTGCCGGAGCAGGAACCGACGAATGCCCACAAGGAACGCCCCTAGTGAGTGAGTCGCGGGCCCGCCGGCTCGCCGGGGCTGCGCGTGGGTCAGCCCGGAGCCGCTCACCTCCACGCGCCGGGTCCCGCACCCGCGTGGCCCGCTCCACAGCCTAGGGCCCATACCACCCTTCCCCCCTTTGGCTCTTGCTCTGAAAACTGACCGTGATTCTTGGGAGTTGATGACCCTCAACAAATACACGTCCCTCATTCTCGCTAGATTTAATCTGAATGCAGATTTTCTACTGACCCCGCCCATCTTCCAAAATATACTTTTCTGTTGTAATTTTGTGGTTCGTTTAAATCAGAGCATCGGAAAGGGGGATGGGAGGGAAGCAAGGTTTTGCACGCAGCAGCCTGACAGTTAACTCCTCACTCTGTCCTACTCGAAAGCCTGTCCTCCCACGAGGCTTAGCAAGACCACATTCTGCGAAGGTGAGCAGCGAGCTTTGGGACCACGGGCATTCTAGGGGATTAAGTGCTGTCTCACACCGGATCCCTAATTAAAAGGAACCTGCAAGCGAGGGTGGTGGCGGTTTGCAGGGCTATAGCCCCCATCTGACTGGATTCCCGAGCCTGCTGGAAAACCGCAGCTTCCCTAGCCTGGTATTTTTAATGTGAATGGTTTGGAGGCGCTGCCTTAATAGGAATTTTGTTTTGATTTTTAGGTGTTGAATCATAATGCTGAATTGAGATTGCTTTTTGGACGAATTCATTTGGGGATCAGGGAGGAAACGGTGGGGGTGGACGGCAGCAGCTTCTCCAGATCCAAGTAAAGAGTATTTCATTGATGAGGAGCAGCCTTGAGAAAAAGCTGAACTGCTTTCTGCTTTCAAGCTATTCCCATAAATACTTTAATAAAATGGAAAGAATGGGGAGGATACTCAGAGCTATCTTCTTATTGTTATGGTTGTCATTGTAAGCTAATTTTTACAAATACAGTATTTGCAAATAACAGAACTTACTATGAGTAGTACTGAGAGATGAGATTGTTTCCTTGTCTCATTAGACCCTGAAATGGTCAATGCTAACTTCTTTCCCCTTAATTTTTCCTTCAGTCTTTAGTTTTATTTCAGCTGACCTCTCTGCATTCCCCAGCCTAGCTGACACATGTATGTAATTTTCATTTTAGCGGATATCCAGCACTGTTTGGTCAACGCAGGTGATGTAGGGTGTGGCGTTTTTGAATGTTTCGAGAACAACTCTTGTGAGATTCGGGGCTTACATGGAATTTGCATGACTTTTCTGCACAACGCTGGAAAATTTGATGCCCAGGTAATAACCACATAGAGCATGAGGGTTTGGGGTTAACATAGCATGATTAAAATGTTCACTGGAAAGATTTGTTAACAGGTTTCCTTGACTGCTCTTTGTGGCATTTTAGAACTTGCAAGAGACATTCTTGGTCTATAGCAGGATGTCAGTATCTCCCCATATCACTGATGATCTGCTCCCTGGAGCTATTGTGTAAACTAAATACCTCTACACTCTTTTTTGTTGTTGTTTTTGAAGCAGAGTGTTGCTATGTAGTTCAGACTTGCTATGTAGTGTGGCCTGGAACTTGGGGCAGTCCTCCTGCCTTAGCCTCTCGAGTACTGCAACTACAGATGTTCATCACCATGCCCAGCTTCATTCTACTCGTAACCTGTTTTGCACAGGCAAAGTAGACTGGCAAAGTTAGTAAATTACAAACATTTTATAAGATGACATACTGTGTTTGGACACCCAGAACACAGTTCCCAAAGCCCACTGCATTGGAAACAGTAGGTTGAAGGGTCAGGGATTCCCCTTCCACATTCCACTAAAGAGCTTTTTACACCTTATAGGGAAATGGTCATCTAGTGTACATAAGTATAAGCAATCTAAATAATTCAAGGCCTCCAAAAGAGCAGACATGTATTCCTTCTGAGTAGCAGGCTCTTCTCTCCCAACCTGAACAGTCAAAACCTTGAATGCCTTGGAATTGCATACTTTTCCATTGCTGTATATAGTAAATATTGTCTGGGCCTGAGCCATTTCAGACATCCCTGGGTCCCCAAGGGTAAAGCTGAGTTGCACCTCAGGGCAGAGCGAGAACCCAATGAGCAGTCTGAGGCTCCAGGGCCAACAGCCCAAGCACATGTTTTGGTATCTGTGGCTCACCTTCGTTTTCTCCCTGGCCTGATATATACCTTGTTGAAACACCCTGTTATTATAGCTGATAAATTTTTCCCCATTTTACTGGGGAGAGATCATGTTGGGAAAGGCCAGCCTTTCAGGTGTGGTTTATGCATGTCACAGTCACCATCCACTGACATCCTGTACAGAGCCGGACAAAGCAATGCCTGGGAACCAGAAGGGATCAGAGGATATGAGTTGGCAAATGGGGAAACAACCGCGGAAGGGAAAAAGCAGAACTCTGAACTCTTTGAGGTTCTCAGTTAAAGTGTCCCTTCTGAATTAACTGGAATTAGGAAACATAATAGGAAGTCCGGAGGAAAGATATGTATTGAAGGGCAATCCCATAGGACGTCAGGGAAGAATACAAAGAACAGATTGGCATAGTCCTTGCATCAATTAATCTTCCTACCCCACCCCCACCCAACAGAAATACGATCTCAAGTTACACACATCCCTTTCAAGACGATTCTCAGCACACAACTGCTTCATCATTTGGCACCCCATGTACTCCATCGCATTTGGCTCCTACTGTACAGTTCACAGTAGAAGGGGCACTGAGGAGGTGACAGTACCACATGGATTTCCAGCCATCAGACATGATCTGCAGACATTTTGATTGCTCTCTAAAGGAAGAACCAAAATAAATGTGTTGGCTGGCTTCCCACTTCCGACCTAAACCCCTTTGCCTTCTCAACTCGGTGACTTCCAGACCTGTCTAAAAGCAGAGGGTGACCTCTCCAGGGATAGCTCATTTCTATAGCAATGAGGGTGTAACCATTCCTGGGTAAGGGTCCCACGATGCCTCTGGGCCATGAGAGGTTGATAAGGGAGCAAAGGCAGAGCTGCTTCCACACCCCCGACAGCTGTCTCCTTTCTAGGATAAGCACAGTCTAATGGGATTGCCAGGAAAGAGAACTGCAGGCCAGATGTATGCTTGGCTGCCTTGGCCCCTCAGAGTAGGGCTGCGTGCGGGGGAAGGGCTGTCAGCTGGGCACTCCCAGCTCAGATGCTGCCAGGCTGGGTGCCAGGAAAGCCTTTTAGAGGCAATAATCCTAACAGTTTAAAGGAGTAGAGTCGTTTTTGGAAAGGCAAAGAATGTTCCTCCTTGAAGAATGGGAGACAACAAGAGTACAATCCAGAGGCACTCAGGCAGGAAGGGGAGACCCCATGAGCACACATCTCAGTGGTACTCCTGGAATTAAAGGAAAAAGGAAAAACATTCGATTTGGACAAAGAGGCACCTTCCACTGGGGAAGAGCTCTTGCCGAGAATGACAAAGGAGTTATGGCCCAATTCCTCCTGGTGTTCCAGAAAAGTTGCCACTCAGCAGCCAACACTGGGCTGCCTGGAGGACAGACAGCCACAGAAGCCCCAGTTCAAGGGAAACTAAAAGTTCAGCTGCGGAGGAAAGAGGCAGACCTGTTAGTGTACAAAGCCAACATCCTTCTTGGTCCAGAGCTGGAGGTATCATGTCACTCTGAATGTACCTCTGATACAGCCTGTCACCTGGGAGGTCTTCAGCCTGAGAAGGGGCCTTGGCATTGTACTGTCCAAAAAGAAAGGGAGGAAGGGAGAAAGAGAGGAAGGGAGGAGAAAAAAGGTGGGTAAATGTCTAACCATGTCACGAAGTCTTTCTTCTTTCTGCCCCCTCTCTCTTTTCCATTCTCAGGGCAAGTCATTCATCAAGGATGCCTTAAAGTGCAAAGCCCACGCTCTTCGGCACAGGTTCGGCTGCATAAGCCGCAAGTGCCCGGCCATCAAAGAAATGGTGTTTCAGCTGCAGCGGGAATGCTACCTCAAGCATGATCTGTGCGCAGCTGCGCAGGAGAACACCCGGGTGCTAGTGGAGATGATCCATTTCAAGGACTTACTGCTGCATGAGTGAGTACGCTTAGTGCCTCACCTCACAGGGAAGCTCGGGTTGGGAGGCTAGCTCCTGCAAGGATGGAGCCGTGGGCGCTGGATGGTGGACGATGGAAGTGGGGTGCAGTTGGTCTGGGGGCTATCTGTAGGAGGCTGAGCTCCTGTCAAATGGGGAAGGTTGAGGTTGACTCAGAAAGCCACATTACCTCCCCTAAGAACTGGCTTTCCTACTGGCTCTCAGGAAAACTGAAAGTGATTTCCATCACCAATTCTGAAATGACAGATTTCTGTGTGTGTGTGTGTGTGTGTGTGTGTGTGTGTGTGTGTGTGTGTGTGTTGTGTGCATGCACATATGCTGAGAAATAACTCTTTGTCTTCCCAAAAACCCAACCAGTCTTCCAAGTAGCTGCAGGAGGTGTCCTTGCAGAAAGCTGATACCTAATAACATTTGTTGAGTGTTTACTAAGTGCCAGGCTCTGTGCTGAGTGCTTTGTTATTTTTTTTCACCTGATCCTCCTAACAGCCCTTTGAGCTAAATGCCTTAATCAGCTCCATTTTATATGATGAGAAAACTCAGATCCACTGAGGGGCACAGCTGGTGAGATGCAGAGTCAACTGGGATCCACACAGTTTGGACCCAGCACCTCTTAAATGCCCAAAACTCCAAGCAATTGCTGCTTTTGCTGCCTCTGGGCTCTTCTTTTGCTCAGAAAACCCAGCTCACCTTCTCTAATTCATTAATGCCCTGCCAGAAGAAAAAATAAAGCAAAACTGCATCAAAAAACTTTAATCAGCTAAATATTACCATGCCAAAACTCGGAAATGTGCACTGAACCTATTCAAAGATTTGAAATTTAGTGATAAACCCAAGACATCTCGTTCCTTAAAAATTATCCCAGCTATAAAATCCTGAATTTTGCAGGACAATAAAGCATGTCGGTGCACAACTGTTCCTAATATGGCACACAATCCATAAACATTGAAGATTAGGATGACTCCTTCAGAGATGCCTATCAGAAAGCAAGCCACTGGCTCAGCTGTCCAGAACGTGTTCTTGCCAGCTTGGTGGCACTATTGTTCTTTCCACAATGACTCACTGGGCCAAATCAGCAGAATTTTATGAATTCTTGCTCCTCAGTTCATACCATGACCTTCTCCAAGGAATGTCACTTTTCTAACTCTATCAGAATGACCTAGGTCATAGAATACAACAACCGTCTCCTGCTGTTGCCCGTTTGGTATAAGGTTTTAGGTATCTCACAACCCCCCAATACTGTGTAAGGATTATAAGATTTATGGTGAAGCTCTACAAGCAACTTTTGCCAAAAACAAATTATGTTGCCTTTTCTGAGTCATACTAATGCCTTATGAAATACTGTCATTTTTTTATGTTGATACATAGGCCCTAGGCCAAGAGCTTTACATGAATTATCACAATTATCTTTCCCAGCAACACTGAGGCAGAAATTACTGTTTCCTTCTTACAAAGGAAGAAAGAAAAGCTAAGAACTTAAGGAACTTGCTCTGAGGTTTGGTTCCTACTTTTTAATTTAGGAATTGGTGACATAATGTTGTGGATATTAAAATCCACAGATACTCAAGTCTCTTTTTTTAAATGGCGTAGTATTTTCATATAACCTACATATATACCCCTCTTTACATTCCCCTAGCTCACTTATAATACCTAATGCAATGCAAATGTTTTGTAAATGGTTGTTATACTATTTTGTTTAGTGACTATTGTCAAGACAAGAGTCTGCATATTCTGTACAGGTATATTTTCCCCCCATTTTTTGATTTGCGGTTGGTTGAACCCCTGGATGTGGAGAACCAACTGTATATGATTGAAGCCAGCTGTCAGGAACAAGCCAGTTGTCAAAATTTAAGCTTCTTTCCCCTCTCCCTCCCCTACCTTTGCTAGACCTACTGAGGCCTCACTGGTCCCCAAGTGTGGTAGGGTTTTTTTTTTCCTTTTCTCAATATATCCCTATCCTATACAGAAGTACTGTGAAATCCCCCCCTTTTTAAGATGCGACTGGAAGAAACAAACACCACATGACTCCATGAAGTGTATTTGCCCAAGCCCAATGTCCTCCTGCCATCCATTAGAGGTGGCTCGCTGGCCTTAACAAGGGATGACAAGTGACAGATTATAAGTCCCCCATGGTGCATTTTTAGAGTATGAAAGGTCTTTATATTCTTTTGGAGAGAGTCTTTCTTAGGAAAGCTGAAAGTATTAAGTTTATTACCCAACCCTTCAAATTTAGGAAGGAGGTGAAGCCCTGTGACTTTTGAGTGTCTCCCCCATGAATATGGCCCACAGAGCCAGGGACTCTTATTCCCAAAGGATCCCCACGCCACTTCCAGTGAACACGTGGCCCATTCTAACCCACTCTGGAAGTGCCACTGGCCCAGCCTGATCAGAAGCATAGGCCCCTTTTAAGGACACATCACGTGTGTGACCCCACACAGGTCCTCTTGTTTCCCACAAAGGCAGCACCTCTAAGTTGTGAGTTCTGTCACACTGTAGCACCTCTCAAAGCTCAGGATCTGCCCTTGTGAGGCCACCTGTGGGCGTCCACCTGTACTTCAGGCTGAATTACCTAACGGTTTTTTATTTTAGTTTTCCTATCATGACAGCTTACAGGATCCTGTCAGTACCCAGACATCAAAAAGACCATTTCAGGATAGGTAGCATTGATCATATATAAAGAATGAGAACCAAATTTGGTTCTCACTGGAGAGGAAAGGAAATGCAGTCATCCAGAATCCACAACACCTCATTCCTCAACCCAATCCTCATCTACCTCAAAACAAGCACACTGGGTGAAAGCAGCCCTCTTGAGTTCTGTTCCCTTGCGTCCTCTCACCCCTTCCTATCCCCCAACCCAGCCTCCTTGTCATCTGCCTCCCCCTAGCTGCAGACAGTCTACCTGGGCTCCACACACCCTGTCACTGCCAGCCACCTGTCATCGTCCTCGTCTGGAGCCTCCAGACACATCCCCCTCTGAGTGTTGTTTTGTTTTGTTTTGTTTTAATCCTTTAGCCTTGCTGATATACTGTTGAGTGAGCTGGGCTTTATCATTAGACACGGGCTCAGCCTGCAGCCTGAGAAGGCATCATGCCAGCCTGAAACATGGCTTAGATTAACTGGCTTTGGCACACATACTCCTCCTGCAGTCCAGAGCTTCCTAGTTGGGAGTGAGGGCGGGGGTCTGAGGAGAACATGGTAGCCCTGCCTTCTGGGGTCCCGCTCAGCCTTAGGGTGCTGAGAGCTCAGGTAGCAGTCAGAACACCCTTGGGAAGAGGCCTTCCTCTTGCTTTTCTTAAAGGAAAGAATCAGTTTACAGTCCCCCAAAAGACCGATATTTGGCCCTTGCAAGGTACACATCTAGCCTCAGGGGGTACAGCAGGTGCTAAAATCCTGCTGCTACTTAGCAGATTAGTGAAATTGAGCTCCCTGAGCCAACTGCTAGTTTTAAGAAATGGAAGGAGCTGGGTGTGAGGATACAAGACCATAATCCCTGCACTCTTGGAAGGTGAGGTAGGGAATTGTGTCTTTGAGCCCAGCCTAGGAAACTTCAAGGTAGCCTTAAAACACAGAGTCATGCTGTCTTTGTCACTGATCTGCCTTAGAAAGTTTAAGCACTTTTCACCTCTACTATGAACAGATTCTGACATCAGAAATATCAAGGAGGTCTTAAAAAGTAGCTGCAACTCCATCAACCAGCACATTCCTTCTTCTCTCCTCCCAACCCAGCCCCACGCCCTCCTAGTCTGGAAACTTCTAAAGGCCGCCTTCTTCCTCTTCTTAGCTTTCACATGCATGATGTAAGAGCAGTTTGCTGGATTACAACTTGAGAACTAATTAACAAAAATGGCAGCAAACTGCTTTGCACATTATTTTAAAACATAATCTGCCCTTTCTGCATACTAACAACTGCAAAGGTGCAAAGCATGATCACCCTGGCTATCATCCAGATAATCACGGCCCATGGGGCAAAAAAAAAAATCTTTGCCGCTTGTCATAAAGATCTCACATTCCAAAGTGATTTCCCTGTTCAAGGTGATGGGCCAGGGATTGATGCTCTTGGCCAAATGTTATCTAGAACTTTTGCTAAATAAGGGCATTTATGAATGACAACTGGAAACATACTTCAGTGTAGAGCACTTGCCTAACATGCATGAGGCCCTGGGTTCATCTCCAGCACTGAAAAAGAAGAAGGAAACTAGGAATGCCAGTCATATGAAGCATTCCACCCTGCTCTGGGGATTTTAAAAGGTGAATGAGGAGTAAAAAAGGCTCAGTAAGTGGGCTGTAGCACCCATTGCTGGGCATACCACTTACCAGATGACTCATAAAGCAGGCACACTGCCCCACACCTTCTGCACACATCTTTCACCCCCTGCGGTGAACTTCTCCAGCAGTTTTTCAGAAGAATGGCCTAAGGCAGCAGAAGGAGGTGAGCCCTCCAGAACAAAGCGTGTTTGTGTCACAGACAGCTGGCTCATCACAAACACAAGAGGCCCTCACTTCCTGTGCCAGGGAAGCCAAGACTAAAGAAATAAGGGTGATCAGACACCCACTCCCACTCCCCTGCCTCTGCTACCTAGAAAGGGGAAAGACATCCCAGGAAAGTGGTCTTCCTGGAGCCCCTCTCCACCTATTCCAGCGTCATCCAGATGTAGAAGAAAGTATATTCAGTAACTTTCCAAGAATACCCTTCATCATGTGCCTCGGCCAGGGACAGACAGACATGGGAGAAATGGCTCTGGGGAGCCTCAGTCAGGGAGGCGTCCTCGAAGAATGGCACCGGGGACAAAATAAGCTGGCCTCACCAGCACCACACATGGAGGGGGGGGTGGGGAGTCAAGATCCCCATTTAGGAGCCCTGCCCCAAACTCTAAACCTTCATGTCATCTCCCTTAACGAAAGGACTGCTGAGTTTGGAACTGAAGGCCCTCTACCATTTGCCTAAATGTGTTCCACTGACACTAAGACCCAGTATTCGGGTGAAACCCATCTCTATCCTATGGCCTGTACATACCCAAAATGTCCCTGCCTTGTTATTCACACAGCTGCCCTATTCAATGCTCCCCTTCCTTTTAGTGACCCAGCCTTAAGCCCAGTGTTAGGTACCTGTGAATTGTTATTGGTTCTTTTTCATAAACAGCAGGCTCTGTTTGCATACCTAGTGTATCTTAGTTGAGATGAAATCAACATCCAAAATTGAAGTAGGAAAGGTTTGTTTTGGCTCACAGTTTGTAGAGGTTTTCAGTTCATAGTCAGCTGGCTCCAAAACAGGATGGCATGGCACAGAGGTATCACAGAGGAGAAACAATTCATAGTGGACAGAAGGCAGGAAGGCGGCAGCAAGCATAAGCAGTGACAACAGCCACCCTCCTTCTGTCCCTTATACCCAGGGTACTCCCCTCAGGGCCAGTAGTGCTCATATCCAGAGTAGTAGCATCCAACCATGAATCAATTCCAGCATCACAGGCCCTACATCCAGCCACCTCTGAAAAGCTCCACCGATAACTCTAGTCACATGAGACTTTGGGGGGACATCAACATATAAGCAATAACAGTGTAAGAATGAGAGCCTCTCTGGCCCTATAACTCCTCCCATGGACCAGGTCCACATGGACGCACATTGGCAGAGGCCAGTGCTCCACTGAATATGGGCAAAGGCTTAAAGTAGTTCCACTAAATTCAAACCAAACACTGACCCCATCCCTTTCCTGGCCCTGTCACAGTACACTAGGGCACCTATGGGACTTGTTCCATTCTTAGTTTTTCTCTGCTTTCAATCTCTAGACCCTACGTGGACCTGGTGAATCTACTGCTGACCTGTGGGGAGGAGGTGAAGGAGGCCATCTCCCACAGCGTGCAGGCTCAGTGTGAGCAGAACTGGGGAGGTTTATGTTCCATCCTAAGCTTCTGCACCTCAGCCATGCACAGGCCCCCCACAGTGTCTCCCGAGCACCAGCTCCAGATGGACAGAGCCAGACTCTCCCGGACCCACCAAGGGGAAGCAAGCCATTACTTCTCAGAGCCCAGCAGCAGGGAGAGCATCCGAGACGCCAAGGGCGAGCGTGGGAGCAAGGGCCACTCAAATGCCCATGCTCGGGGCAGAGCTGGCGGCCATGGGGCTCAGGGACCTTCTGGAAGCAGTGAGTGGGAGGATGAACAATCTGAGTATTCTGATATCCGGAGGTGAAATGAAAAAAAGCTCGGCTACGAAACCTTTCCTCCACAACGTCCATTTTCTTACCTATGGACATTCCAAAACATTTACCATTAAAGAGGGGGAATGGCACACACAGGATTTTGTGGGGACTGTGGACTTCATGAAGGTGTATGAACAGGTGAGACAGCTCCTAAGGCAGCGAGGTCTCAGAGGTGCCTAGAGAATCGGGCACTTACGCATACTCAAGGGAACCCCCACGTCCTCCTGATAACTTCGTCTTCTTTCCATCCATGGAGCCAGTGGGTGGTGGGCGCATGATGTGCTGTTATGGGGGAGGTGAGGCAGGGAGGGGCAGGTGAGCAGGCAGCCTACCTGGGCTGGACCACACGAGGGGTGCTAGGCTCCACCACAGCCATTGCAGAAGGCAAGCGTGTGGTTTCCAGGGCAGAGTAAACAAAGTATCACAACAATGCAGGGGAAGGGTGGTGAGGAGGCAGGGGCCACAGGCAGGAGCCACGGCAGGGCTCAGTGCCAAGCTTCCTGCATGGGACCTTGCGATTCAGAGCTGCTTGAGTGGGGCGGGGGAATGTAATTTCTATGTGTAATTTCTGAGCCATTGTTCTGTCTAGGGGACGCAGTCTGAGGGATTGGCCCCCATGTGTTTATATTTTAACCACTGCTTCAAATCTTAATTTCACTTTTTTATTTATCCAGTGACATCTACATATCTGTCATCTAAATAAATGGCTTTCAAACAAAGCAACTGGGTCATTAAAACCAGCTTAAAGGGGGAGAATAAACAACCCAGCCCATCCTTGGCAACTGAATTTTTTTAAGTACAATTTAAGAAGGAACCAAACAGCACTGCCCTGCACTGACACGGGCTCCTACCCACCTGGAACAAACCTCCAAACGGGAGGCAAATGCACACACAGAGAGTCCACTTGACAGCTTCCCTTAGAATGTTGCTATCTCACCTTGACCCTTAGCCAAGACCCACAGAGCACTGGCGCTCGTGTGATCTTGTGCAGCCAAGCAGGAACCTGGCTCCTGTGTACGGAAGGACAGAAAAAGGGAGAAGAGAGTAAAGACTGCTAAGTAATTCCCATGAAGCAATGCTAACTTTAGCATAAATACTGAAAACCTCTAAGGGACAAGGACTTCCAGATCCTAATTAGACATTTAGCAACAAGGAGGGAAGTCAAAGTGGACAAAAGAAGATAGAGGGAAAAGATGGAGCTGAAATACAAGGCAGGGAGGGCAGGACTTACAAGAGGCAGGAAATCTACAGAAGCGGGTTTCTTGCAGTTACTGTGAACATCTCATTAATACGCACTTTCTTCCTAATAGCTTCAAAGTGAAGCTCTCGCTACAGCCAAAGCTTGAATAGAACTCATTATCAGGAATGGACAGATGTCCTGGGCTGGGTCTTTCTAGAACAAAAGTCAGCAAACTTTTCTATAAAGTGCTAGATAGTAAATATACCATTGTCGGTTTGGTGGACCATTTGGTTTCTGTTGCTGCTAGTCAACTCTGCCTTTATACCCCAGAAGCAGCCCCAGACACATAAACGAAAAGCCTGGCTCTGTTCCAGTAAAATCTTATTTAACAGGCCCCCAGCTGAACTTGACTCCCAGGCCAGAGTTTATTGAGCCTAGTTCTAGGGAGTGAGCCAGAAAGTATGCATCCTTCCTTATCTCGACATTTGTTAGCTCTCCCTCAAGCAACCTGAGGCCAGAAACAGAAGCTAAATTTTTTTCTACTCTTAAACGATTTGTTCTAGGGAATATCTTCACCCCAAACACAGCTAGCTTTTATGTTCCCCAAATCCAACCCAATCTCTCCAGAGTCCATGTGAGAAAGCAATCATTAAGAGGGGTGGGTCAGCAACTCCCCAGGAGAAGCATCCCGAAAGAGCTCAGACTACGAAGAATAGAGGATCCATGTGTCTAATCCACCTCTGCCCTGCAAAGCAGCAGGCAAGGCCAGCCTCTGCCATGGGAACCGAGCATAAACGTGGTCATCCCGTGCCACAGGCCCCTGCAGCACGCTGACTGTTTTTCCTTACGTCACTCAAAAGCTAAAGTAATAACATTCTCCCTCGTTGCTGGGTCGGCTGTTCATTTGTCCACTAGCTCCTGGAATGGATGTGTAAATGTCTTACGTGTTCGTCTTCTGTTGTCCCATTCATTGTGTCTATTGTAAATATTTGTCATTTGTATTTATTATCTCAGTGCTTTCCCCCAAAGGCATAAAACTACTTACGCTCATTTGTACTCACGGACTGATCTGTTACATATTTTTCATTATCATTAGCTACTTCCCCCCTCTCAAAAGTCACAAAAATACCATTTCATTTGGACCTTTCATGTGACTGGAAACATACAATAGCATTTATTGCTCAAAACTGCCCAAATTCAGGTAGACATCAGTGGGAGCATTTTGCCCAATCTAAAATGTAAGCAAAGCAGACATTAAAAATAGCCCCTCTCCTTGGGCTTCATACTTCGTACAAATTTACTCATGAGTCTTCCTTGGAGGAAGGATGTGGATCTCCAAATAAAGACACTGTTTATTTTAAGCTTTGCATCTCAACAAGATGATCTGAACATCTCTCCTTTGTATCAATAAATAGCCTTGTTATTCTGAAATGAGAGGCTAGAGAGCAGTAAAGTGCTGATACTTGAAACTAAATAAATAGAAAACATCAGCCCAAAATTGCAGTCATGGCTTACACACACACACACACACACACACACACACACACGGAGAGATTTAAACTGGAACTGAGTAGAACCGTCACTAAAACATGGAAAAAATAGTGGCCACTTCCTTAGGAAAAACAACCCTGTCTGATCTCAGGATCCGCGCCACTGAGTTTGCTAAGTCATAATACCTGTTTCTATTATGGATGTAGGCAACAGGGCCTATCCATTGTTACACTACATTACTTTCCTGCAAACATTAATAAAGATTTTAAATAAATGGCTTCCACTCACTGTGTCACTGTCTGAGGGGCTTTAAGAGTCTCACATGCAAGAAGGGTCAGCTGAGCAAGCCGGCTGCAGATGCCTAGGAGAGTCCTCTGCCTGTGCAGGGCACGAAGCTCACAGGGAGCGAAACCCATTGAAGAGGGCCCTGGGCTTCTCCATCAGAGCAACCTATGAGCCATCCACACAAAGAAGGGATTCCAAATAGCTGGCCGTAAGTGCTACCCCCATGTCCTGTTAGGTTCTTGCAACTCACTCCCCTCATCTTTAGGTGTCCCCTAGGGGCTGATCACCCAGCCTTTCAGGCTGAGCCTAGCCTGTAACAGATGCCAACGTTTAATGGCTCAGTGGCTTGGCACACATGAAGCTCATGCCTTTTCCCCAGCTCTTTTCCACTACTGTAAAACACAGCTGAAGTTTTAGTTAACTACAGATTGCACCACCACGGGTAAGCCCACAATGTAGCAGGCACCATAATCGCCATTTTGCATGGTCTGTGTCATCCTGCGTCCCACAAGTAATAGGTATTAGCCCCATTTTACAAGTGAAGAGTCTGTGGTGTAGGCTTTCCCTAACTACATGGCCCATGAGCAGGGAGCTTGAACTCAACCCAGACAGAGGCTTAGAATTTCCACCTTCGCTTTATTTTTAATTTAAACCAATTGTCATCGGTTTATTTTACACAGGCTTAGGAAACAATAATTATACTCTTGTATTTATAGCAGTCAGCCCCTGCAGTGCTCTACTTCAGAACAGAAAGGAAAATTGATGCCCTCACCTTTCCCCTCCACGGGGACTGAAACTGTGGCTCAGTTAAGGGACAGCAGGGCCATCGAGAAGCCTCATCATTTCTTTCACCAGTGGGTAATTTTTTAAAAGGTTTGTCTTGTGCATCACTTAGGAAAATGTTTGGAGAGCAGCTGGCACTGGTGAACCTTCTTCATCAAATACACCCCTCACCAGCCGAGAAGCCAGCCTTCCTCAAACCCCCTTCTGTCAACATCTTCACTGTGACAGTTACAGTGTCTTGGGGATCTGTTAGGAGCCCCCTGTTTTGTCTCTTACTGAATTATGTTATTTCTGAATCCCACTTTACAAATAAACTAAGACTCAAGAATATCTAGATACGGGGCTGGGGATTTAGCTCAGTGGCATAAGCGCTTGCCTTCCAAGCAAGTGGTTGTGAGTTTGATCCCTGGTACTGATAAAAAAAAAAAGAATATCTAAATATGCCTAAAGCTGGTGAGCTCTAGGAGTCATGCAAAGCCACCCTCAGGCTCGTTCTGTTCTCCTTGATTTACCTCTTTTCACTCCAGGTACGAACATTTCTTGAATAAGTGCCCCCAAATGAGTTGAGAAACGCAGCTGCCTTCTCCAAATCCTTGGGACTGCTCCAACTCAATGGTTCAGGTATTAGACTGTGGGAGGAGGAAGCAGAAAGGCTTCCAAATATGCTGGCATTTAAGCAAAGTGTCCAAAAGGAGCAAGAGCAGCTTGCCCCCAAATCTGGAGACAGAAACCTGAATTTGTTCTAAAGTCAACAAAAACTAAAGCCCCCCTGCTGAAGAGGGACAAGCCTTGGCCAGAGAACAGGTTTTATGTGAATTATTTTTTGTGGGTGGAGAAGAAAGAAGCCTTGGACTAGAGTCACGCGTTAGTGCTTGCATAAGCAGTTCAGTTTTTATCACTCCCCAAAAAGAACAAAAAAAAAAAAAAAAAAAAAATCACTCCCCAAAGAGAACAGGAAAAAAAAGTCATGAAGTCAACCGAGTTTTTGTATGAAGTGAACTCCACTGCACTGAACCCTACCATGTGACAGAACCCACAACTCATGGCACCTTTGGGTCTCCAGTCACCCAGCTATCGTTTAATACTGTGTCTGCCAGGCAAGTTACCACTTGGAAAAAACAAGAAAAGGTCCTCCAGGGGATTCCCAGAGGCAGAGTCATTGTTCACAAGGTGGTGAAGACTGATCAGCTCTTCATTTTCCAGTGCTCTGTTTCCAGGACTTTTCACGGTTCTTTAGGGCAGGGGGAGTTCCCATGTAAAAAGCCGCAGTACCCTAAAGAGCCTGGGAACCACCCGCTACCCTCTGAGTTATGAATAACTCTGTGAAGGACTCAGGCTCCAAAGACAGACTTTTCAGGAGCAGCGATCAACCCCTAGGATTTTGTCCCAATTACTTACTGCTATGTAGCAAAACTACCCTCCAAAGCTTGTTACACACAAAACAAATAGGTATGCTGCTCACAATTTTGTGGATCAGAAATCTGGAAAGGCTCAGTTAGAGGGGACAGACTCTTCACTGGGCATGGCTGGTAAAACAGGGAACTGGAGAATCCACCTCCAAGATGGCCTATTGGAGAAGGGAGCTCAGGGCCAGGATTTAGCTCAGAGGCATAAGCGCCTGTCTGGCAAGCACAAGGTTGTGAGTTTGAGCCTGTTACAAAAAAAAAAAAATCCAATCGAGAAGGCACCTCAGTGTTGACAACCTCTCAGATGCATGTACCATAAAGGAGGACAGATGTCACTTTTGCACACCATTACCTGTAGCTTCAGTAGCCCTGCCATTGCCTGGAATGAATGAATGAATGAATGAATGAATGAATGAATGAATGAATGAAACATCTTATATAAAAGGATGTATATAAAAATATCAAATCAAAAGGTTGTTTTGTTGTTGTTTGGTACCAGGAATTGAACCCAGGGCCTCATGCTCGTCAGGAAGTAACTGTGCCACTGAGCTATATCCCTGACCCTAAAATCAAA